ACGCACAGTGGAGCTCAATGCGACAGTGTACTGTCTGAGTGCATACTTTGAGGTATCCTCGTAATAACCTCATTATCATACATCTTTCCCGTTCAAGGATACATCATGGGAATGCCGAAATCCAATATGTTTAGAACAGAATCATCGAACTTCGTTGTGTGGAGTCCGGTCAAACCCTGGTGGCAGCCATATTTGTTTTTATTATTAGTGTACGTTTACGTGCGTAATCATTCCATATATGAAATTTGCATTTCCTAATATGGTTGGATGAAAATTACGGCACGCTGTAACTTATGACGTTACGGTGACAGATTAGTAATTATTATACATCTAGCACTGAAAACAATAAAATTTGCCATTCCGTAAAAAGCCATTTAAAAAAAATTTCCCTAATATAGCGTAAACTACGTCACCAATATTGACACGTTCCGGGTTATTGACGTCACATTCAAATACTTCCCTTCATTTTCATTGGACATAGAAGCACTATAGTGTTTGACAGTAATAGAATTCTCTCACTGAACATAAATGTGCACACAATATCTCTCAGTAAATGTTTACTACAAGCAGAAAAAAGATGTGCATAATAATACTAGGATTATTATGAGAATACCGCCAAGTATGCACTCATAGGTCAATCGATCCAATCTCCATAGTGTGCATATTTTGCTGTTTTTTACTGATAACCGTGTATTATAAAAATTAGTCTTTCTGAGTAAAATCCAGGTGATAAAATAATTATTTTCTTAGATTGAAGCTACATGAGACGCTCCATACTGAACATGTAGATGGTCATCAGCAGTTTGAAGATTGCTTCAATCGTTTTCATCGCTATCATCCATTCATTGTTTTCATGCGAATAATTAATAGTCTATCTCATAAATAATATTGCCTTAAATTGGTCTTAAATAATATATTGTTGCCATGGCAATTATATGTTCAAACTATCCAGATAATAGACGTCATATTCAAACACTTTTTTTTTTCCTTCGGTTACATAAACATTTAAATAGAATTGGACTCCTCCCACTATATTGGCACTGTGCAAAACATTGTTGCCAATTCAGGTTGTTATCTTTCATAAAATTATTTCTTCAAGTAGGACAAAGATGTATAGTAAGGTTATAATGAGTATACTGTAAAGTATGTACTCAAGCGACACGGGATCACATTGACTTCCGCTATTTGTCTGTCAATGTGATTGTCATACTGCTTTTGTGCGCACTTTACGTTATTCCCATGATAATATAATTATGAGGTTATTATGAGGATACATCAAAGTATGCACAAAGACGGTACAGAGGATGTATCGGCCAACACTCAGCGGAGGTTGATGCGATGGTGGACAGTCTGAATGCATACTTTAAGGTATCCTCGTAATAACCTTATTTTATTATACACCTTTTCCATTCAAGGATACATCATGAGAATACCGAAATCCAAAAGGTTTAGTACAGAATCAGCAAACTTCTTTGTGTTGAATCCGGTCAAACTCAGGTGGCAGCCATGTTTGTTTTTATTATTAGAGAATGATTACGCACATAATCATTCCATATTTGGAATCGAATTTCCTAATATGGTAAGATGAAAATACCCCAAAAAATATCATAAAATTACGGCACGCTGTAACTTATGGAGTTACGGTGATTGATGTATAATAATAGCATGATATAACAAATCAGAAAATGGTGTAGGGGTAAATCATAACCTTCATGGTATCCTAATTGTAAAATTTGTCATTGTAATGTACTGTGCTTGTGAATGTTATAACAAATTAATCAAAATAAAATTTCATGTACATGTAATCCTTCAGTTCCATTGACTTGAAGTCTGTACCTAAACTCCCAAGCTGTCAAGTACTTAATTATCATAACACTTAATGTCCTCCAATTTTGTTATCCATCATTTCTTCCATTGACTAATACCCGATTATGATTTTGTAATTTATATGTTGTTTATGTGTGTATTTCATACCTATATGTCATGTGACTCGTATATTATTCAACATTCGTAATAATATTATATATACATGTACAGTGTTCAAATTTGGTGGTTGTCCGGTTGCCCTTTCTAACCCATTTCACTACGAGACAACCAAATTTAGAATCTGGTTGCTTATTGGGACAATCAATTATTTTTATTTATTTTTTTAGAAATCATAGTGTCATTATCATTTCAATGAATAGATGGTCGTATTTTGACCTTTGATTGGTGTGTTTTGCCAAGGCTGGTTGTGCAACATATAATATTATAAACTTGCATACAGTCTCTTTGTTTGATTTTTGGTGTTTTATCAATAAAATATTATGTGAGTGTGTAAATGGCGAAAGCTGGGTTACCGTGAAACAAACATGAGACAAGTTGAGAATCGATATTCCATTTTAATTTTTGGGAAGATGTCATATGCACACGCAGAAGTTTTTATTAGTGAACATTTCTTTGGGATGTAGCAACACACAGAGACAAAATTTTAAAAATGATCGTCATATCGCAAAAAAGATTTACTACCGTATATATTAATGTCAGATTTATTGTTACAGTAATAATTTTTAATGACAAGTTGATTATTTTCCCCAGAATTAAATGTTTTCTTAATTATGTCAGTATGTAGTATTGTCTCTAGAAATATCATTTATCTGGTCACTATGGTAGCTGTAGACGGGCAGTACCAGTATTTTACCCCCTGAATTGTCGCATATATATACATGTAGATACATAAAAAACTCTAAAATTCACCCAAACCCAATAAATTCTATAATCATCAAAGTTATCTTAATTAGGTCGAACTAGGCAATAAATGGAGTAAAATAAAATAAAATAAAATAAAATTAAATTAAATAATAGAAAATAACAGAAAATAAAATATAATAACAGAAAATAAAATAAAATATAATAACAAAAAATAAAATAACAGAAAACAAAATAAAATAATAGAAAATGAAATAACAGAAAATAAGATGTGTAGAGCAAATAAATTCCAAGCTCTCTTTGACTTTTCAAAAAACCCTACAATTTGTGGCAATTATCAAAATCAATAATTTCAAATTATTCAGGGGATTATTTACATACGAGACACTTTTGGCACAGATTACATAGCACAATATCTGCGTGAGTGAGTGTCGGCAAAATTTTAGTCAAACATATTGCCTGGTTTTATGAATCTTAATTTCTACATTTTTCTTGATAATGTTGGACCACATGGATATAATTTTCATTTGGCTACAAGTCTTGATCTACATTTTGGTGAAATTGTGAATAAATTGTGTGGGTTTAAAATTTGTGAATGAATGGCGATCGAAAAAAGTTGAATTTGGTGCTCAAAGAGATACGTCATTCTCTGAATTGCACAGTTTGTTCGTGCCGACGTGTTAGTTTGAAGGGATGACCCGAAAAAAAATGTTCCTTACCTGGCGAAGATGGGGTTAAGCTATCTAACTTTACATAGTCACTTGTAGCCTAGTGGTTGTCGCATCAGACTCGTGGCCGGTAGACCCAAGTTTAAATCTTACCTCAGGCTGAACATCAAAAGGGTTGACTGCCTACCCTGGGTGAGTGTACCACAGACTCAATGGGAAGGCCTATTCTACTGGCCAAGATTCATTCACTCACAAATGCGACTTTGGGGGGACCTTAGTTAAGGTCCGCAGGTGTTGTGTTCAACCGAGCTTGGTTGACGCCTGAATAGTGCATTAAAATTGTCGTTTGATAGAGAGATGGCCACACAGCCCTGTCATGTACATGTATGGTAGCCCCAAAACATGAATATGACTTCTGTGGCAAAAATGCACTATGTGTCAGCACTAGCGCTTGCAATTTGCACAAAAATAGACAACAGTAGCATTCAATGTCCGAAAAAATACCCGAAAAAAACAAAAAACTGTAATGTAGTGTGGAATGTTTACATGAAAATAGAGCACTTTTGCTCAATTTTTTTTTTTATTAATGCATGCATGGTAATGTGTCTGCATCAATTTTATGTACTAACTCCATTTTGTTTTCTATTATTAGTGATGACATTAGGCAATGAATACAGTACATTTGATGATGAATCAGGTGGATTTGAGCAAGATCAATCATCCGAGTTTTCCGAGAGTATCATTCGCCATGGTAAGTCACATTGCATGATTGTTTGATTTACGACCAAAATACAAAAAAAAGTCTGAATTAAATCTTGAGACATTGTGTAGTCCAATAATATTAATACTGTATAGATTACGTGTGACGTTATTTTAAAATACTGTAATTATTTTTCGCTGAAAAGTGTTTTTGGGTGTTTTGTATGAAATTTATTTTCACTGATTTTTGACGAGTTGAATGTGAAATATAAGAAAAAAGGTATATTCGGTGGATTTTATTTTCACTGATCATTCCTTCAGCGAAAATAGGGTAAATTAATTCCAAGCGAAAATAAAGTATTTTACAGTATACATGTACAGTAAAGGTTACAGTCACAATATCGCTGATTCTTTTGTTTTTTGCATGAATATATAAATTGTTGATCACAAAACACTGATACTTCCTTGATATTTTCAATGTGTCTGAAGTACATTGTACATTAACATGTACTTTTGTTAAAGGTACATGTAACCCCAGTTATGAACACACTACCATTTTGCTATTAAAATACATATTGGATAATAAAATGTATGCAAGTTTAGGGAACAGTTTTTGTATGAAAACACAAACCTGAACTTGGCAAACTGATCAGAGAACTTTATAAATTGGTCAGTTATAAAAAAATTATAAAAAAATTACAAACTGTGAAAAAATGTTCATAAAATGAACTTTCAGACAAAATAAAATCCCCGGAAATGGAAATGCCATTATAAAATTGAAGATGAATGTAATTATGTGATGGTATGCCAAAAATATAAATAATAACACCGCCAGTAACTATTGCCATATAACAAGGCTAAAATATCAAACATTATAATTATTTCACATGTAGATTTCTTTCTTTTCGGGATGGTCATTTACACATGCTGTCTTGTCGACGTCGGGTGACACAACATTCACTTTCGTTAAAGCAGATCATTAGGCAGTATCAGACATCAACTTCAACTGTCCGTTAATTAATATAATAATGGCACTTTCTTAATTAATGAATTGCCGCAACATTTAAAAATATTTTATAAGACAGTGGTTATTCACAAATAGATTGTCCATTTTCACCATATATTCAGCAGTGGTGTGAATAGGAGATCCATTTCCACTATTTGCTTGCATTGGTAAGCATAGCACGTCTATTTCCACTATTGCCCCACAGCCGGGTCGAATAAGGTATCTATTTTCACTATTTGCCCCCTAATTGGGCAAATAAAAGAATTCCTCTATTTGCCCCTGGTAAATCACTATCTTTCTGACTCCAAAACATGCTGAAAACAAAACAAAAATGATTATACATTATATACCTCTTACCTACCCCAAAACCTTACCCAAATTTCTCCCCAAAAAATCAAAAAAAGAAAGAAAAAAAAATCACTCTGATGTGGTTTGAACTAGGGAAACAAAATAACAACAAAGATCATGCGAAAGCTACAAAGCTACAGATGTTTACAAAATACCCACTAATGCTATGAATGAGCACAATAGCTGGTTAATAACAGACCATTGTCATGCATAAACGTATGTTTTTTTTGTTTTCTATTGCCAGCAAAACCAGCTGGAATAAGAAGAGTGAGTCTAATAATACAACCAATAGTGCACTCTACGTACCAGCCAATGTACTATAATCTATTTGTTGATGCATAGCGATAGCTTTTCTATTTCAGGGAAAACGTCATTGTATTCACTGAGACATAAATTTAACAGAGACAAATAACAAAATATAATTCAAATTTTGATCTGACTTTTTAGTCCGTCCATGTGTCCGTCTGTCCGGAGTCATATTTCAGAATCCTTTCGCCCGATTCTGTTCATTCTTTGCATGTGCCTAGTACTTTATGTGGGACATATGCACATGCAGTGGTTTAGCAAATCGATTCAAACTGGCCGACTGGCAGCCATCTTGTTTTTTGGACATGCTTTGTTAGTTTTCATTCAAACTTGGTACATAGATTACATATGTTAGGATACATGTCCATGACAATTTGTTTCAAAATCAAATCAAGGATGGCCGATTGACAGCCATCTGACTTTTTGGCCTTACCACTATATTTCCAAGATTTATGTACCATTTTCATTCGTATTTGGCATATACATGATACATGTCACTTTACATGTTTCATAATCAGATTAAAGATGGCCGAATAACAGCTGTTTTTATTTTTGGCCATATTACTATATATCTGTCACCCATGTATCATTTTTATTGATATTTAGCATGTCATAATGGATACATGTACATGTCAATTCAATTTTCAATTTGTTCAAATATGACCGACTGGCGACCATCTTGTTTGTTTAAAAGGTAATAACTTGGACATGCTTTCACTTGTGATCTATGCTTTACTTTGCTATGTCTTAAACCAAAGGGATCGTCATGCAACACATGTTCAAATTTGATGTAAATAAACAATCTGTTGTATACGCCACTTGAGACTCAATTTTCAAGGACACGCTCGTGACAACCCCTCCACTTTAATATGACAAGTACAAAGAGAACTTTCAAAAATGTAACAGGGACTGTGTCATTTCAATGATTAGTTAATTTGAAAATTATTCTAATCTAAACCAAATAAATATGTAGTTTTTCTCAACTATTGGCCAATATTAATGTATATCTTCCAGCTGTGTGTCTGGTGTGTGTCAGCTATTTGCTAATATATGTTAGCTGTTGGCTAGGTACAAGTATACATCTGTCATAATTTGGCCGGTGGTACACATGTACATCAGTTAGCATTTGGCCTGACACCTTGATGAATGATCAGTCAGCTTTTGGCAAGTGTACAAATGTTGACCACTGTAAATCTGTCAGCTGTACATGTTAGCCCAAGTGTATCAGTTTGCTGCATGCAGATAGTGTTCATTTGTTGGTTGTTGGCCAGATTTATTTCCGGACATCAGATTTTGGCCAGTGTTCATCTGTCAGCTGTTGGCCAGCATCATTCATCAACAATTGTCCAGTTATACCATCTGTTAACTTGTGTGGTCAATTTATGCAGAACATAGATACCATCAAATTTATTTAAAACACTTCAAATTAGTGATACATGTATATATATTATATATATATATATATATATTTATAAGTATATATTCATTTTAGTGATGGGCCACATTGGCCGTTGTGGAATTCTTACCATGCAGTGTTCATGCACTAAGACATTATGATTGATCAGTCATACTAAATGTTTCATATATATTTTTACAATTAAAAAAAACCTTCACACCTGAAATGTTATGATATATTTATTTATTCTTTTCACAGCATTTATCAGAAAGGTGTACACCATTCTGTGTGTTCAGTTGATGGTCACCATGGGAATTATATGCGTATTTCTCTTTGTGTAAGTAATGAATTCCGCTGCTTTCTTCTCTTGTAATCCAAAACAGGATGAGTATCAACTTCTGCACTGGCCCAGAATCTATACAAGGTATAAAATAAATAATAATATGACATATACAGGTCAACGGTTATGTTTGTGTTAATTATTAGTAGCTTTTTAGAAAGTTACATGATTCTAGGAAATAAGCCAACAAAAATCAAGGTAAACATCATAGTCCAAGCATAACTTAACATTTAGCCTAAGCTTTAAGACAGTTTAAAACTAGCTTAGCTTACTTTCAAAATGTAGCTGAATTGTTCAGAGTAATCTGGGTAATTATATATCTCATATTAGTAACATAGGTAAATAGTACAGAGAATATGTTAGTTGAAATTATAGGTGACAACGAGACTCACTTCAGAAATTGCGAGTTTTTATGAAAAGGCAAAGTCGATTGATAGCCAGCATAGAATTTAATTTACACACAGACTGTACTGCAGTTCAAAAAGTCACTATTCATAACTGTGTACTAGCATGCATATCATGACATGTACATGTATACCTATTTTAGTTTTCATTAATTCCCCAGTCCCCAGAACTAAGTCTGTTTACATGTAAGTCAATCTGTGCATGTATACGTGCATCCACACCAATATCTCTTGACATATCTTGATTGGTCACATTCAGATGTGCCATATACTGTAAAATACTTTATTTTCGCTTGGAATTAATTTTCGCTATTTTTGCCAAAGGAGTGATTCAGTAAAAATAAAATCCAGCGAATGTACCTTTTTTCCTATATTTTACATTCAACTCACCAAAAATCAGTAAAAATAAATTCCATACAAAATACCCAAAAAGTCTTTTCAGTGAAAATAGGATCCGAAACCATTGAAATTTGAACATATTTTCTGTATTAGTGGCATATTTCTAAAAAATATCAAAATAGATCATATTTTATTGACTTTTCGGTTTATATATATTGTGCTTTTATTAAAAATGTTACAATCATTACGGTAATAACCATTACACCTTCTAGTATAACAAGGCCAAGAACAAGCTTTTAGTGTATTGCTCAGTGTATTAGGGAAACAAATTAAATCTTTTTTTTATTCAGTTTAAGGCATTTCATACTTTTTTCACTCACTTTATTGAGGCATTTATCACATGTATTTATAAATTCTCTCATTCTGTTTAAATCTCTGTGTACGATTCTCGAAATTGCGTACCAGACACCAGGACAGATGACTTTCAAATTTTGCCAGCTTTGTCCTGCATTCAATTTTAAAATACACCTGTCCTCATTCCAAGTAAGCACTGAAACTAAAATACTGCTGTCACACAAAATGAGTAAATTTTCCATTCGAAATTGTTGCTTTTTTTTTATTCATGATCTTTATATCAATCTACAGACTGAGGCTTATGGCATTTAATTTTACCCATTAATATTTCGTAAAAAAAAATGTTTGTTGGAAATGGAAATGCTAAAAATGTTTATTGGAAATTTATTCTTTTTAAGCATACGGAAGGGCAGTATTAAATTTAAACACTGATGTCATGTACACATATTCATTTTGCATGTACAAATTCATATACCCATTGAATCAGCTAATTACAACAACCGATCTTGTGTATATTCTTCCTTTATTCCCATATTCATTTCTTGATAGCCCTATTCTCAACAGGCAATGTGTTCATAGTTACGCTATGTTTTATTTCAGTGATCCTGTGAAAGAATATGTATACTCGAATCCATGGGTGTGGTGGGTTGCATTGTAAGTCATGTTAAATCAAATTTATTCTTTAGTATTATGAAGTCAACTTTTGTCACTTTTTACAAATTCTCAGTGGGAAATAATGTCAGTCCCAATGACAGCCTGACTCAAAATTGACAAAGAAATTGAGGAAAAATACATAAAAATGTGAAGAATTATTGCTGTTAAGGGTTAACAGTGCTTATATACATGTAACCATTATCCTGCCAAAGTGGTATCTCTTGTATATGAAACATTATAGGGAGGGAGGGAGGGAGTTCACCCAACCCAGTGAAGTTTTAATTATCATAGAACATCTTTGGGCGTAGGGTTTCTTGCCCCATCGGACAAAGTCTGAAACGGGGACTACCGTATTTGCTTTATTATAGAAGCACTTCATGAATAATTTTGGTTTGCATGTGTTCTGAATATAATGAATAACTAATTAATAATATATATCACTATTTTGACAAATTCTGTTCTTTTTATTATTTTGTTTAATTTCAGGGGTATTACATTTGCTACTCTGATCGGCATGGCTTGCTTCTCCGATATTAGAAGAAAATTTCCCATCAATTTTATCTTTCTTGCCATCTTTGTAAGTAAAGAGCTTGTTATGATCATTTGCATATTACCAGGTATGGTGATTATTTTTAAATAATTAAATAATATAAGTTAATTAGCATAAAAGAATAATAGATTCTGGAAAAAAATAAAATTTAGGTAAAATTGTTGATACATTCACTATTTATCTTACTAATTGTCTATCGCTGTCTGTCAGTGTTTTCATTTTTAGCTTCTTAAAAATCAGCAGCTGTAATGGTTCCATAGTCTTAATTTAGATTGGGTAATACCTTCAATTCTCTAATTTTAGTTAATTTTTAGCTCCGCTGTCGACTTTGTCGAGCGGAGCTTATCATATGAGTGATTGTCCGGTGTCGTCCGTCGTCGTCCGTGTCAATGTTTTACTTTTTCGACTTCTTCTTGAAAACTACAAGCCTGAATGCTTTGATACTTGGTGTATATGTACCTTGGGTAGACTTCTCTCAGATTTGTTCATTTTGTAATGATATCTTTAATTCTCTAATTTTGGTGAATATTTTTGTAATTTTTGGTAAAAAGTGATATTTTCGACTTCTTGTTATAAACCGCAAGTGCAATTGCTTTGATATTACATATATAGGTACTACATGTGGACCTCTCTCAGATTTGTTCATTTTGTAATGATATCTTTAATTCTCTAATTTTGGTGAATATTTTTGTCATTTTTGGTAAAAAGTGATATTTTCGACTTCTTGTTAAAAACCGCAAGTCCAATCGCTTTGATACTACATATATAGGTACTACATGTGGACCTCTCTCAGATTTGTTTATTTTGTAATGATATCTTTAATTCTCTAATTTTGGTGAATATTTTTGTCATTTTTGGTAAAAAGTGATATTTTCGACTTCTTGTTGAAAACTGTAAGTTCGATTGCTTTGATATTACATATATAGGTACTACAATGTACATGTGGACCTCTCAGATTTGTTCATTTTGTGATGATATCTTCAATTCTCTAATTAATTTATTTTGGTGAATATTTTTGTAATTTTCGGTAAAAAGTGATATTTTCGACTTCTTGTTAAAAACTGTAAGTCCGATTGCTTTGATACTATTCATATTGTTCATTTTCTAATGATGTCTTCAGTTCTTTAATTGAAATGTGCATTGCTAACAGCGGAGCTATCTTAGCCGATAGGCTGCTTGTTTATCATTTTCATAACAAATTCTATTTTCTATCTTATATATGGCTAGCCCATTCATTTGTTTCAATATTTTAGATGTAGACATTTTTTTCTGTGAAGATAACTTCGATTCGCTGATTTTCAGGAATATTTTTGTCATATTTATTAAAAAGCAATTTTTGACTTATTGACTGTTTTTCCAAATGGCTCACCTTATTGCTTTTGTATATGTAAATACTTCCGTTGGATTGTTGATTTTAATTCTATAATTTTAGTGAATGACTAGCCAGATTGATTTGATATAATTGTATCTGCAAGTATCATTTTGGCTGGACTTTTATTTTGATAACTTTCATTTTCAAATTTATGTCTTTATGAAAACAACCAACCAGATTGTTATATGTAGATATCTTGAATGGACCACTGTCATATTGATTTGATTTATTCCTCTATCAGACTAATTTATTTAGTCTCTATAACTTCACTTTATACATTTTTAGTTAAAATTCTTGTTTTCTTAAAAATGGCTAGACATATTGATTTGATATTTTTTCTCATTTAGCATCTCAAACGGCTATAAATGCAGATAAAAATGTTTTTAAACTTCACACATTATGGGCTGTGGAATCTGAACCATGAAAAATAAAATAATTTCAGTTTATTAGCAAGACTAAATGCACCCTGCTGGGGTCAAATTTCCCATAAACTACATTAATTAAAAAAAAAAACTGTTCCCACACATTTGTATAAGAAACAATTATAATTTTCAGTACTGCAAAAAAGTTTGAATATAATTAATTGTGCTTGGTTATGTGATTTTATATTCAATAATGTTTTCTTCCACTGTACCGACAGACTATTTGTGAAGGAACCGTACTAGGTGCCATCAGTGCTCGCTATGATTTCCAAACGGTTCTAATAGCAGCGGGCATAGTAGCTGTAAGTCTTGGATCAACGTCGGCTCTATAGCTCTCATTGTATAACCGTGCATCTACTGCACTGTGATGCTAGTATATACTGCTGCGATGCACTAGTTGTTTGTGTAGCCGAGACAGATAGATGGTGTGTTCATATGCACTAGTTGTTTGTGTAGCCGAGACAGATAGATGGTGTGTTCATATGCACTAGTTGTTTGTGTAGCCGAGACAGATAGATGGTGTGTTCATATGCATGTATGCGGGGATATTAGGGTTTAATGTTGCATGGTTCTTTACTCCATACAGACTTTATGTGAAGGTGTCTTACTCGGCGTTGCATGCAGTACGTACAAAACGGACACTGTACTGATAGCTGCAGGTATCACAGCTGTAAGTCTATATGTCTCATCTATTACTATGTGAAAAATTCATTGATGATGTTTGAACTTGACCCGATGACTTCGTGTAGTTTGAACTTTGACCTGTTTCTTGGAGTTTGAACTTTGATCAGTTTCATGTAGTTTGAACTTTGATCTGTTTCATGTAGTTTGAAATTTGACCTGTTTCATGTAGTTTAAAATTTGTTGTAGTTCATTTAGTTTGAACCTTGATCAGTAATTTTTATGTAGTTCACGCTTTGACCTTCCATGTGATTTGAACTTTAACCTGTTTATTCTAATTTCTATTCAAACTTGAGTAAACAAACCAAAAAAGTTACTTGGTTGTAAAAGTGTTTGATTGGCATATTTATTGTACAAATGTATATTACTTATGTTTTTTGAATTTATTTAGAAGATTATTTTTTTTTTTTTCTCTTTAATTAGGTGGTTGCATTCGCCTTAACTATCTTCGCATTTCAGACTAAGGTAGGCATTTAATACACTCCAGTTGCATAAACACTGATGTAAATTGTATATGCAAATTCATGCAAATTTCACTTTATCATTAGTCATATCTGATTTTGGTGTGTAGTAGTTATTTCTCAGTGATTCAGGTAATATACATGTAACTATATTTTCTCTATTAGAAACACATTTCTAATAAAAGTGCACATTAACCAAATGAGCAATGATATACAGCATTATCACATTTCACATGCTGTGATAGGTTCAGACTCAGTCACAAGACACTGAATAAAAATGGCTCTGGCATTATCATTATTATGTTCATGACCACCATCCTTTGGGCAGGCAACAAATCGTTTGTCCTCACAAAGATGCGTTATTATCTAAATATAGACTTAAGACAAACACTAACCAGTTCTTTCACACCCTAATTTGCATTTAGTATTTGTAGAAATTTTCGATTGTCGCGACATATTTGTGATCATCTCGTAATTTGCGACTCTTCTTCAAATTGTGCGAGATCTTCATCTCATATTACACCATTTCCATTCCCTGATTTTGTAAATCATAATCATGGTGCCTTGTATGATTCTGAGATTTGTACAAATTATAATTTTGGTGCAAAAACAATGTGAGATTTATGTTATTAACAAATTAACAAAAATGCAATCTGTGTAGAATGTACCTCATTGCTCAATATTTTCTTTTCTCAGATTGACTTCACTATGTTCAGTGGAATAATGTTTGTTTTTTTGATTGTACTGATCTGCTTTGGCATCTTGGCTTTGATATTCCAGAACCGGGTAAGTCTATAAATCATTAATATTTGAGAACAGGGTAAGTCTATGAATCATTAATATTCAAGAACAGGGTAAGTCAATGAAACATTAATATTCAAGAACAGGGTAAGACAATGAATCATTAATATTCCAGAACAGGGTAAGTCAATGAAACATTAATATTCAAGAACAGGGTAAGCCAATGAATCATTAATATTCTAGAACAGGGTAAGTCAATGAATCATTAATAATCAAGAATGGGTTGAGTGTGTAGTAATTGATTGATATTCCAGGGTAACTGGATAAGTCAATTAATCATTCATATTCCAGCATTGGTAAAGTTAATGAGCTATTGAATTAGTGATTGCAGTTCAAAAAGGTGAATCGTTTTCCATCTATATTGATATTGTTAATCCAATGAAGTGACAATGTGTTTGTCTTCTTTTGTATTCTAGATACTGGATATGGTGTATGCTTCAATCGGTGCACTGATATTTGCTGGGGTAAGTAAAAATCAGTTTGTGTTGCTAACTGCAAAGTGAGAGATACACTGTCTCCTGCATGCAGGGTAACAGAAAAAACACACTCAGTCTGTTAAAAACTGATCTGGTCTTTTCACCTTGTGTGTTATAATCAGGTAGAATATTTAACACATTCAGTGACACTATGCACTTCCAATGTTATGTTGATTAGCAATAGTTATTAGCTCCGCTGTTATCAGTGATTGTCCGTCGGTGTCCGTCGTCGTCCGTGACAATTTTTTACTTTTTCGACTTTTGTTGAAAACTACAAGCCTGAATGTTTTGATACCTTTGGTAGACCTCTCTTAGATTTGTTCATTTCATGGTGTTTCCATTAATTCTCTAATTTTAGTGAATATTTTTGTTATTTTTGGTACATGTAAAAAGTGATATTTTTGATTTCATGTTAAAAACCGCAAGTCCAATTGCTTTGATATTACATATATAGGTACTACATGTACATGTACATGTGGACCTCTCTCAGATTTGTTCATTTCATGATGATATCTTAAATTCTCTAATTTTGGTGAATATTTTTGTCATTTTTGGTAAAAAGTGATATTTTCGACTTCTTGTTGAAAACCGCAAGTCCAATTGCTTTGATATTACATATATAGGCACTACATGTGGACCTCTCTCAGATTTTTCCTTTTCGTGATGATATCTTCAATTGTCTAATTTTGATGAATATTTTTGTCATTGTTCAAAACAGCTGATTGCTTTGATACTATACATATTGTTCATTTTCTAATGATATCTTCTGTTCCTTAATTGAAATGTGCGTTGCTAAAAGCGAAGCTATCTCAGCTGACAGGTTGATTGTTTTGGCATGAAATACCTTAAACTTGAGAAATCAGAGATCATTATTATATATTGTATATTGGAGGTGTTGGTACTACCATGTGAAATATTTGTTGTTATGAATTGTGAGAAATATGAACATTTTGATTGTTCAAATTTAATTTTCTAATGCTTTTGAATGGATCCATTGCATGTGACGTCACAGGTGCTTTATCATGTCGTGTTCCACTCATTAGAAATCTAGGGAGCTGTTTAAAATGCACCTTGACTATATTGCCGTAAATCTTTGGACAATGGCATTTAAAATACTGATTCACAATATGTATAGATTCACAAAGAATCACCTCTGATCCGAATTAATGCAGCCTAGATCCAGAGTGAATCTTAGTGAATTGTGAATCGTTGAGAATCGTTGAGAATCATTGTGAAACTTAGACACAGTTGTGAATGATCTCAGAGTGCAACACTGATTAATTTGAGAAAAGTCACATTAAGTGTGAAATTATCTTGTTATAAGACATGAAAAATGTTACCCCTGAAAGTAATTATGGTAGCATTAGAAAAAATGAGGTGGCTAGAATTGATCTGCGATTCCGACAATATCTAAAAGTTACTATAAGCATGCTGCTACAACAACCATATATAACCTGAAAGCTTAGATATAGGTAGTGAGGCACAGCTTAGAGCATTACTAACATTTCATGCAATTCACAGTTATTCCACGTCAATCATGTGACTGAAAGTGTTAAAAATCCGTATTTTCAACAGCCATAATAGTAAAACATAATAACAAAATTTATACAGCATACTGTAAAATGACTAAATTTCACTGGGTTTAAATTTCACTGATTTAGCATTTCAGGCATATTCAGTGGGTTTTATATTCACAGTTTTATCATTTAGATAATGTGTTCTATGCTCAATTTTACATATTCACTGGGTTTTAATTTAGCAAAATTTTCCAGTCAGCGAAATAAGCATATTAATTAAAAAACCCGGTGAATAATTAATCATTTTACAGTATTGCACTACTAGAGTCCTCTATATCTAAGCTTTTATATGATACAGTACATGAATAACTATAAACAATATAATAATAAATTACTTTTTCTAAATGTAATGGATTCTCTGACTTGTATAATACTGAGGCCTCAAAACTGTTGTAAAAAAATAAGTATTGTGTTTTTAACTGTTAATTTTCTTTGTCTTTCTGACGCACCAGTATTTGGTAGTCGACACACAGATGATGATGGGTGGCAAACATAAGTATGCCTTATCGACTGAAGAATACGTCTTTGCTGCGTTGAATCTCTACTTAGACGTAGTCAATTTGTTCATTATGGTGTTATTTTTAGTCGGTTTAATTGGACGTTGAACTGTAAAAAAAAAAAAATTGAAATCATCACTGTGTATTTACTTGTACGAACTCAGTCATGTAACTAAAATAAAACCACCAATCAGAGAGTACTATTCAAATCAGGTTTGCTAACTCATGCAACAGACTTTCTGATTGGTGGAATGATTGTAACATATTAAGGGTAGACATACAGGGTAGCTTAAATTAATACATGACTGGCACTTCCTATCATCTCTATATACTTTTCAGATTTGCATGTGTACTATGATATATGGAAAGCGCTCTTCAATATGTACCTTATGTACGAACTGTAAAGGTCACACATCCTGGTACTTTTTGATATTAATGTGCTATAACAGTAACATAGTTTTTGAACTTCAATGCTCAACTGCTTGCATATTTGGGGAAAACAAATGAAGAAATTTATAGAGACTATGAACCCACAGAAAGTACCTGGATGTATGGCCTTTTGAAATTCACAGCCTGTTGGTCAAATGTACCAACAATTGTCTGGAAATATTGCATGTTAGAGTGATAGAGTTCATGCATCTATTCACTATGTTTGTGTGCTTTAGAATTTACAGAATTAGAATCTGTAATTTGTTGATGTCAGATTTAGTGATCATTGTTAGTATATTTGACTGGAAATAGTTTTTCTGCTAGCTAGCTAGTATAGGCAAAATTTGATTGGTAGAAGAGACTATGGTTACATTTGTTGCCATGGTGAATTGCATCATGGAGCATTCCTTGTCTTGTGTTTGTGTTTATGTTTGTTTGTTTGCTTGCATGTTACATTCTTTCACTTTGTACTTCTTTCTTTCCAGTACTTGGTAATAGACACACAGTTAATGATGGGAGGCAAGCACAAGTACAGCATATCTCCCGAAGAATACATCTTTGCTGCGTTGAATCTCTACTTAGATATTATTAATCTATTTATGATGATTTTGATATTATTTGGGAGAAATTAACTGTTATGAATTGGAGGCTTGTGCACCTTCAAAATTTTGCAGTGATTAGGGGTTGACTCAGAGAAGGAGAAGATAGAAATCTCATTTCACCTGGCCCTGTTCCATTTTTTTTTTTTTCAAATTTTTCTTTTTGAAGATTTTGTTTATCCAAATTACGCTCTCCTGTTTCTAATGCTCAGCCTTTGTGTAATCAAAATCACACACATGAATTAAGGCATGAATATACAGTTGAGAAGCAGATATACATGTATATGACATATTGCTACATATTACTAGGCACTTTTACGTACATGTACAATGTATGTATCCTGCCAAGTTTGAAGCAAGTTTTTTTCCTAGCTTCGACTTTGATTTTCTCACAAATAAATGTATTGATGTATTGAGTCACAAACAGTAGCTGCATGGTAGCCATTTTGATTTCCATGTCTGAAATAAGTTTGGCGATTTTAATCTTGAAATGCAAGTGAACTTTTTTTAAAATGGTATTATTTTTTCAAAATAATCTGTTAAAATTAAACTCGTCAGTTTATATATCAAGTGATAATCTATATATTGCTTAGTGTTTTTTTTAGACATGTCTGTGGGATTTTGAATAATTTGAAATGAAATCAAACATATTGCATTTGTATATACTTTTTAATTTTAATATTAATTAACGTGTTTTCATAATTTAGTTCCCGCATTTGTTAATCCATGTAATACAAAGTGAACTTTGTTGAACTACATGCACATGAAGTTAAATGTAAGGACATACTCTATACTCCAAAACACTCAGAAAGTTTTGTTTTGAGCAACAACAAATTTCCAGCATATTCGCCACCCAAAAGGTGTTTATTTGGCCATCACCTCATCGCTACTACGCCTTGGCAGATGCTTTTCAGGTAGTGTGTTTTAAAATGCGCCCTCTTTGGCAATTTTTTTGTTTTCTTTTGTTTTATTTTTTTATAGCCATAAGCTATGCCACATCTGATTGGGCACATGCATCAGAGGTATACCCAATCACATCTAAGAATTATCCCATGGCTCAAACATCTTGGTATAACAATGTGAAGGTTTGTGAGAGAGTACATGTAAATGTATGTTTACAAGGAGTTCACAAAAACGTGCGACTTGGATGATCGATTCCTGACTACAAACCGATCTGCATGGTATTTTTTGAGCTATAAAGACCATGTGACCCAGACAATACCTTGTGTTTATTTATTTGACATCATAAAAGTATCTTTGATCTCACAGTATCACATGGATTTCCAAATACGAAAAAAAGCAGTATATGACTATTTTGAGAAGGTATTTGGAAAGATCCTTTAATCTTTTGTTACTGTATTATTTATTTTCTCCATACAATTCAGTAAATGTGAATATTTGGTCTGTGTTAAGTTACATAAATATTTAAGTTAGAGTGTCACAGTGTGCTGCGTTTAACGTGGGTCCCATACGATATATATAACGTGTAAAAATGCATTGTTTGTTTATGACTGGTGCTTTGTGTACAGTTGACCGCAGTTCAAGTGTGAAAACACCTGAATTTTAGTGTAACATTTTTCTGTTTTTAAGTATTTGACTGTGATTTCTTTGTAAGTGTTGGACCAGATGGTCACAATTTTTCATTGGTTAAAGGTATTAAATTGATCAAGATTTTCCAGCAACTGACAAATTGTACACTACCCTTGAAAAAAAAACTGTAAAATACTTTATAAATTATTTTTGCTTGGAATTAATTTTCCCTATTTTACATTCAAAAATCAGTGAAAATAAATTCCATACAAAACACCCAGTCTTATTAGCAAAAATTAATTCCATTTAAAATAAAGTATTTTACAGTAAATTAACTTGACCTAATTTCACTAATCTCAAGAGACTTTCAGAAATTAACTTAAAAATGTAAGTTGAAGAGTTGTCTTTAATACTTAATAATCTTATCAAACATAGATGTCATTTTCACAATAAGATAAGTGAATTCATGTCTCGATGTATTATGTCAAATGCAACTTTATTTTCTCGCTGTGATCACAAAAGTGGTTTACAAGGTTACAATATCATCTTTCACAGATGAAATTTCAGTTACTGTAGTTTGTCCATGGGATTCATTAACCTTTGATTTAAAATTACCCATCATGCAACAGGTTTCTCTTCACAGTCATTGGTAGAAGCGCAGTTATATCAAAGGGAACAATAATCTTATCTTTTCTATATTTAAAAGATTTTTTTGCAAAAATTAACTCTATACTTTTGAAATAATGTTATTTTAAATTGTTATAACAGGACTGTTTGCCTTTAATAGTGTTGTGGGGGTGGGGGGGTGGCGTGGTTGTCCCTTGTTAGTCGCTTGATGTATACCGGTAATAACGAAAGTTGTCTGAATTTCTAGTTGCTTAAAGTTGTATGTTTGGTCAGGTCAGATCTCTCTGTGGGATGTTTTATGAAGTGCAATATAAGTAAATTTAGTATCAGTCATCCAAAAAAACATAATGTATTGCACAAAGTAATATTGTACAGTTTTCTACATTGAATGTATACTTATTGCATAGCGGTAATGTATCAGGCTTACACATGTATATTCTTTAAGTGGTTTTACTTTAAATTTACATGGAGTTTGAAAGCTATGTATTTGATTGTGTGGCATATACACTATGTAATGTATATTTACATAATATATCCAAGGATACACAAGACAAGGGTATAGGACTAGTGTGATATCTGATACCAATACAAAGTCATGCAAATTGTGAGATGATTGTTAAGTCATCTTAGCCAATTCAAAGCTACTTACAAAGGTAGTGTCTGATTGGCTGCCCAACCTTAATACCTAACAGTCGGACCAATCAGAGATCAGTTTTTGTTGATAGGTTTTTTTTATGTAACAAATTCTGCTTGTATATATGCTTCGACTGAACTGGACAAATGAGCCTGCGTTTATCTCAGGCAGTCTTTGCTGGTGTCATTGCATATTCACGGTATTTATTACACATGATTTGATCAGAAATATGTTGATGCATGCATGGACTTTGAGCGAAATGAGATCACATTTCGCTGTGCTTGGATATCTAATTTGCATACCCTCATCTTGTTATCCCTTGATGTAATTGGGATTATTAATCAGGTCACATTTAGGTCAAAGCCAATATTGTGTCACAAGATGGCTTATTTATTGTACATTTTGGAGCTTTAATTGACAATTAAAGTTTTTATGTCATGCCAATGTGTATGTAAACTGTTGGCTTTCATTAGTATATTGTGCCATTTCCCCCCCCCCCCCCTCGGCATGAGCAGCAGCAACCGTGGCATGAGCTTCTTCACATAACATTCTTCAATTAAGAATACACAGTCCCAATATAAAGCATTGCTTGTTATAAATGTATGTATGGAATACACTATGTATGATCAAATCATATCTCAAATAAAGACCAAAATGTTTGATTGAATCTTGAAAATTTTTATTAATAAATCTGCTGAAATCCTCCATGGATAGTGAAAATGAATGGGGGGGGGGACCACATGGTTTTATCAGGAAATGTACATGTTCTCACAGTATTTGGTGTATTAGTGGCACATGCACATACGTACAGCATATGTACATTTTTGTGGTATTTATGTTCCAGCTTCTAAATACAATTATTAATTTATTTATTTATTTGGGCTTCTATTAAAGAGTTGCTCCTGATGTCTCAGCTGTGCTACATGGTTAAATCTTAGCATGGTGATTGCTTTGCACAACTTCTGTAATGGATAGAAGTCTGCATTTTTATGGTTAATAATTCAACTTAATTCTTTCCTAATTCACTTAAACCATTCCATGACATACTGGGAGGGGTGGCGATTATATGAATGTTTGACGATGACCAGCACAAGGGAACCACAAATCTATCGGATTGCTATTTTCGAGGACAGAATAAAAACATCGAAATTCATTCTGTGGTTTAATAAAAGCAACTGATCACAGCACAAAAAAAGAAATAAATGCTATGACAAAAATAAAAGAAATTATACAGGTAGTCCTCGAAACTATAAAAATGTCTAAAATTATAGAAATCATTTGAAAAACTTTCCATGATACATTTTCATGCAATATATTTCTGACAAGGTGGGTAAAATAAATGAGTATATTAACATTTGCCCTAACATTACCTAATAAATAGGTTCAAAGGGCGGCAGTCGTCGTGACGTGTCTTTTTCGATATGGGACGTATACAACACGTGTAAAATACATTGTTTATTTACATGAAATTTGAATACGCGCTGCGTGACACCCACCGCACTTTGAGCTTTTTTTTTCTCAAAAAATACAATATTCTGTTCAATATTTATTTTCAACAATCTACATAACAGTTTGTGTGTACATAGTACACAGACTGGTTGTGCAATATTTGAAACACACCACTACCACTGCAGCCTGGGACTCCGAGGAAATATCTTCTTGTGTAAATACTCATGCCATTGTTTAGAAGATTTCATTCCTTGAATTTCATAATAAGGAATCTGAAAACAAAATTATATAACATATCTTTTGTAAAGCAGTTTGAATGAATGAGTACATACTGTAAGAATGCAGAAAAAGTTGCATGCACATAATGTAAAATATCTCATTTTAGCTGGAATTAGTTTTCGCTGGAAAGATTTTTTTGGTGTTTTATACGACGAGTTGAGTGTAAAGTATAAGAAAAAGAGTATATGCGCTTGATTTTATTTTCACTTAATCCCTTCGACGTAAATAAACAGAAATAAAGTATTTTACAATACCAGAAATATCTTCTGTATTGCATGCTGGGTGTGACACACTTTTGACACAAGCATTTCCTGAAATTTATTTATTTCCAATGACGGATATTTAAAAATCTGATAGAAAAACTACTAGTAATGTGAGTGTTAAAGAGATGAGCTCATTGCTTCATGCATGTGTAGGATTCTCTAGCCTTGCGTTTTTTTTAAAAAGCAAGCTAAAAATGATTCTTCTAAACATAGTGATGCAAGCGATGATAAAATCTATTCCAAATTTTATGGATTGGGAGAGTAAGCGATAATAGACCATTTTCTGTTCACTGCGAGAATCACGCGTTATGCGTGAAATCGAACGTAAAAACAGGACAAACAAAGGTCATAGCGTCGTAGTGGCGTCAAACATCGCGTCAGATTCGACAAACGCGAAAGTATTTCGGGGGATATTTCCATGCTTAATAATGTGCTGTACACATTTGATGATAGGCAATTTTGATTAAGTGAGGATATTCAAAAGCAATATTCCTCTGTCGAAGATCGGCTGGTCGATGTGCGCTACGAAATAAAGAAATTTTACTTCAAAATCAAATCGTTCGATTTTTGCGGCAGACGTTCGACGCGCGTCTTTCATGCATCTCGCGAGATCTCGCAATTGTACGGAAAATCACCTATTTTAAACTCTTCTTTGTCTTGATTTAGATGCAATTTAGAGTAATCAAACTGGATTCATTTTTATACACAATGATTTACCCACAATCCAATGCACTCTCTCAGTGGCAATCATGATATTCACTAAATTCAGACTTTTGACTCCATGGAATATTCATCAATATATTTCAATCATCTCAGGAATTATCTAAACCTTTAAAAGCTGGTAACATCTCTTTTTCCATATTTGCTGATCTGAGCAACATTCAAAGTCGCCATCTTTGTTCATATGAGACCCATATCTAGCACATGTGCGGCACAATGATCACTACTTTCAAATGTTTACCTGGATGACTTGATATCCCAGCAGTGTAAGGTGTCTTTGTTTGATGACCTCTATGCCAAGTAGATGGTGGTAATTCAAACAATGATGATCTAGCTCATTTAGGCAGATAGCAATTCTAAAACGAAAACAAAAAATTGTATGCACTCAAATCTAACAAGCAGTCACTAAATGTTCACAGATGTTTGTCACTGGTAGCATATACCAGGTAGTATCGCTGAGAGCTCCTTTGCTATCAACATTTAAAAATGTATTTACATGCATGGTTCATATTTCTACTGTTTACCTATGTGTTGTATAACATTGTATTGCATTGTATCTTGTTTATTGATTTAATGTTGCAAGTTAAATGTTGGTCTTCATAACCTTTAACCTGGTAACTAAGACTAATTACTGGTTGCTATGGTAGTGGAATCTTCCACTTTGATTTGAACCAATCGAACAACATTATGCAAATACTCCAAGTTACCAGTACCAGATTTTTGGAGGGAGTCGTTCTCATTTTGACTTCAATGTACTCTGTCGTGTTGCAATAAATGGGACTTCATGGATCTCTGATCATGTCTCATGGAAGTCTGTTCTACTATTTTACACATCACAACCCTATCTCACCCACCACAGGTAGTAGTTGCTAATACATCTCCAGATCAATAGGTTGTAAATTCAATGATACAGTCACAGCCTGGAATTCAACCACCAATGGATTTAATTTTGAAAGAAGCTTGGCTAAAGTCTATGGAAGGCCATAATACTATCAAGATATCCCCACAGCCCTGTCACATACTCCAAAATATGATGTCTGTTTTAAAATGTACAATGTGTACAATTGTCAACCTAACCAATAAATTTATCTTCTGTTCACATTCAATACATGTACTTTGTACACCAGTTGCTGGTAGAGGGTACCCATATTGCAGGATTGAGCGACTCTCAGTAATCCCCCTCTAGCTCCACCAACCAATAGTATACCAGGAAGGGCAACATCAAAAGTTCCTTGCAGGATATCAAATTTATATTAATAGTATCATAAGAATGGAAACAAAATATCTGCATTGTGAACATATAAGCTCACACTATATACCTATCTATATATATATATTGTCAAAATCTTTGTATACTCAAAGCATGAGCAACAAATTATCTGACTAAAATAACATTTTGGGGGATAGGAATTCATTTAGGATCAAACTCCCCCACCCCCAAACTAAAGGGATTAGATGTTTTATTCTAAACAGAATGATATTGTCTAAAACAGGTTACTGTAAAATACTTTATTTTCGCTTGGAATTAATTTTCGGTATTTTCGCTGAAGGAATGATTCAGTGAAAATAAAATCCAACAAATATACCGATGTTCCCTATATTTTACATTCAACCCGTCAAAATTCAGTGAAAATAAATTCCATACAAAACACCCAAAATGTCTTTTCAGCGAAAAATAATTCCAGCTAAAATAAAGTATTTTACAGTATTTGATTAAGACCAGTGAGCAATGATAAACTCTAAATACAGTAATTGATGTTTCTATAAATGAGCCGATGTATACATGTAGTTACGTCAGATTAATTAGCATAGCTAAGTAGCAGCCTTCAAACATATAATTTTAGTAAAATGTTTTTAATTATTAATAAACAAAAACAATCATATGTTGTACTAACATTGAATGAGCTGCAGTGTCCTCTGTGTCCTTACTCAACACAAAGCCTTCTTTGTCCAATTTGATTTGTATATCTGAAGAATTTAAAAAAAAGTCATAATATTATAATCCATTATCTATATTTGCTCATTTTATGAAAGTGATACTATATCCATATTTAGACAATGTATGTGACATAATCAATATTTAGACATTATGGAATTTACAGGAATCACAGCAATAAATCAGAGAGCGTACAGTAAAAAGAATTGTGTATGTCTTTGATAGCGTTGCTATAGAATAATTTGTAAGATGTTCTATAGAACTTCAATGAGAATTATATAGGATTGATTGAAATTGACAAAATATGATATGCCTTAATTTTGCAGGAGAAAAATTACAGCAGTGGTCAAAGGTCACTGAATATAACACTACCACATGTACATCATACAATGTTGACTTCTAATACACCTAATTCTTATGAAGCACAACCTCTAGTGGTGAAATGCTTCTATGATGTAAATAGGTGACAAAACGTAGATCATGTTTTTGAGAAAATTGACAATATGACGAATGACTATGCAACCAATCACAGATGTTGATTTGAGCGACATTGCTTTCATCCATATGTGCATTTGACATCACAACAGGGCTCCATCACTAGAGGGCACACCTTATAGGGGGATAGGCGTATTGGTCATTGCAAATAACTCACCAATATGATAGATGTATGGTGTCTGTACCCAGAATTCATAGTTGTCATCTCCACCCAGTAGTTCACATAAACCAGCCTTCAATTGACGTACTAGAAAATATGGCCTTATTTCCATGGTATGATGTAAATATTTAACTTTGTACTTGTGCGGTAATTTCGGCAAATGATACGACTTTTGTTCCAGCGACATCGCCAAGACGATTTGACTTAGTTTGCTTCTGACCTCAACATCAACTCCAACAGAATCTGTGAAGTCAATTATTTTATGTTAATTTCACAATGCTGTAATATCTTATTACCTAGTCATATTTATGAAAACGTCGCACACTACAGGCGATCCTAGGTATTTATGTGGCATTTCTCTCACTATATGCCTAGGCATAGTGCTTATAATATTGTCAATTAAGATTTATGCAAACATCACACACCATGGGATGTCATACATGTCTGGTAATATGAAATGTATCATGTGGTACATGTTTATAGAGGGTCGGCAAGGGGTATTTTCATAAGCTGTAATCAATTGTTTTTATTTACGTATTAATGTGATTTAAATAAATAAAAAACGTAAATTCGTAGACATGGACAAGGTGTAAAATGTAATCAGCTATTTTATTCGTCTGTAATTTGTACAAAGATACTATTTTTGATGAGTGTATAATAAAGCATTTTCCAAATTGAATGTCCTAATTCAAACGCAATTCCAATTTTGATTCTTAAACACAAATTATCAAAAATATTATAAAAATGTGAAATGTAATTAGGAATTTGCTTTTTCAGTGAAGTGTAAAAAAGATTTTTTACTTTTAATGAAACTTTCATTTTATTTCCTGTAAAAATGTATAATGCCTTTTTTTTTTTTCATGTACCAGCTACCCACTCTTCATGTTTTGTGTTACACAAACAATGTTTATTACATGGGTGAATGTTGCATGGAATCAATTTTGACACAAGGTATCACAATCTGATGATCTCGTATGATTGACAATACACTTAATTGACCGCATTTTAACCCTTTGAGAGCCAATCTCAACTTTTTTCACAACTCATAAATGTTATTAAACCCACAAAATTTAATTAAAATTTTTCCAATATTTTGGTCAAGCTAATACAAAATTATGTCTACCGGTATTTATTCAAAAATTTAAAAAAAATTATAATAACCTTATTATTATACATCTTTTCCTCCCAAGGAAACATCATGGAAATGCCGAAATACAACAAGTTTAGAACAGATTTAGGGAACTTCTTTGTGTGGAGTCCGGTCAAACCCTGGGGCTGCCATGTTTGTTTTTATTATTAGAGGACACTCATGTGCGTAATCGCTCCATATTTGGAATTCGCATTTCCTAATATGGTAGGATGAAAATACCCAGTGCAATACCACAAAATTACGACATGCTGTAACTTATGGCATTACAGTGACAGATGTATAATAATAGATGATAACCGTCTGAGCACAACTTAAAGGTCGACAGTCGTCGTGCCGAGTCCTGTTCGATATGGAACTAATAGCGACGTATACAACGCGTGTAAAATACATTATTTATTTAGCATTTACTTACTTAGCAAGAGAACTGATTCGCTAATTCAAGATGTCGCTAATGACTTTATTATCAATTCAAAATGGACGCCAAACAAAGAAATCAACAATGACAAGAAAGATTCGCTAAAGCAACATTTCGCTATTACGTCATTTTACCACAATTCGCTAAAATTGCATGCCGCTTTTTCAACATGTTTTACAGTACATCATGCATTTATTGACTGGCCATGAGGACAACATATATATGCATATGTATCCATTCAATCCCCGATGTCTGGCTTAATGGATAGCATTGTAAGCCTGGAAGAACACAATGCCACCTAAAATTTATACTTGTCCATGTTCTTTAAAGAAAAGAATAAAATAACCTGGCTGATCCAGTTTATTTATGTTCAGTCTAGTACAGTATTAAGCATGTGATGCAAGTCTTATGAATGCGCTTCACAATTGTGAGAGTCAGGTGATAAGAACATGGTAAATGCGCAAGTAGAGCAAATTTCGTACTGTATGCAGCACGAATAATATACCAGTTGATGTGTGTGGAACGGCATTTTTGGGAAAAGTTTGAACAATTTGTTAATCCCACATGATCGCGTATTGAGCAATCACGTCACAGAATTGACATGACAACCTCTCAACCAATCAATGTAGCTTTCCTAGAAATGCCAAAAATATAAATTATATCCATATACAAATATACATTCTAATTTATGTACATACATGTACCAGTTTACCTGGAACTGTGAAACATAATTATGAAAATATACAACGTATGGTATACTCACTCTCAAATTTTTCAAGGAAATGCGAACTCAACATCTTATGCGTGAAATTTAACGGTAGCCGTGCCAGTAAAACACATGAATATAATAAATCTAACACATCAAGTGGCTGGAAATCATGCCATCGATAATTAAAAGTCTCTTCAATTTTATCAAATACTTCACTGGCATTGCTAGGTATGTAATATAATTGACCAAACGGTAGAAGAATTTGCGCAATCTGATGAGTAGTAAATTTTTCAGCGTACTCCACAAAGTACTTGCTAACTTCGTCAAACAGCGGTTGCGAGAGAAATCTACTACTTCCAAAATACTGCATAGTATTCATCAGAGTTTCGCACTCTATCGTGTTCCACATACGTCTAGGAATCTCATATTCTAGCGCTTTCAGGAGATGAATAGTACAAATCTGGAAATGCTTCAATGTCTGCAAAATGAGAGATAATTCTCTGTCGGAGAACGTTGACACGAACTTTGCTGATTGCTTTGACAGTGCGAGTAGACATGTAATGTTTTCATAATCATGCAGTTTTAAATGGTGTACAACCTGGCACACCTCGGACATTGATAACGCAGAGGCATTGTCAGCAATATAATCACTTGTCCTGAGTAAAATTTCAGACTTCCCTGGTACATTAGATAACCGTAGAAATTCAAAGACCTGGATTGCATCAGATATCTCCCAGGTATCGAAACGCGACATTATAATTTCTAAACTTATCATCAACAAAGACAGCGGGACTGTTCCATGTATCGCATTCACTAGACTGCACATGTTGCAAATGTCGCGTACATTTATCAACTTAGTAGTATTCGACAGAGTTTTCTCAGCCATGTCACAGAAATATGAAACTAACTGATGCTGTTTATCTGCGAACGTTGCCCCTTCGAGGGCCAGCCGTATGGTTTCCGAATTCAAAGTAACATCCCAGGACATGAGAATTTCGCCGAGTTCTTCAAAGAAGCTACTGTTCATGATTTCTGTTTTCGAAGCTTTGTGGCTGTAAATGGTCACTAGCTTACGGAAGGCCTGGGCAGCGTTCTTGGGTGTTGTTGAAAGCTGGTTGTTTATCCATTGCAATACATCGCCGCAGTTTTTACAGCCATCGAGTGCATCGGCGCTGATGGCATGACATTGTCTCGCCGAGCAAAATGAGTTTATCAATCGAACGCTGGGAGAAATGTGGAAACGCCGACGACATTCCTGACTACGCCGGTTCGTGTATGGGCTTTGCGTACGCGAATTGCACCGTGTTACATCGCACACAGATAAAAATCGGAGTTCAGCGTGTATTTGTGAACGTATTCGTAGAAACCCTGCTGCCAGGCGACACGAAATCATCGTAAATCACAGTTATCCAGAGCGATCCCAACAACGTCGCCGGTGTTTCACGTTTCCCAACTGTCCGGTCAGAGGTTAAAGTTCAATTTCTAAAGCGAGGTTTGGTGATTCCCTGTTGGCAAGTAATTTATTGCTCCAAGTAATGGTTTGGCCACCGTCCCTCACGGTGGTTTGGCCAACAACCTAACTGTTCTCTGTTATGCTGTGTTTTTCAGCAAAATAATTCAAAATTTAGCACATAGTACAGTTACTTGTATTCGGAATGCCTAATTTACGGTACTAAATAATGTACTCAGTTAACTTATGTGTCCCTTTTACGGCAGTGGTATGCAGAGCACGACAGACTAATAAGTTGCGTTTGATATTCGTAAATAATGCTAGGGTACCATGCCCGCCCTTCACGTGGAAGCCAAGACGATCGTCCATGAGAGTGAGGTGGCTTGACAAAAATCGGCATAGGCCTTAGATACCATTTTTTTTACTGATATTGTGTATCGTGTTATATTATTATACTGTTATATACATCGTTTATACCGCCTAAAGCTTGAATGTAACAAAACGGGATACGACCTTGAACACTGTGCTATGAGCGAACGTGAGAGGCAACACCACAATATTTGTATTGACCAATCACAGTATTGTATATTTGTATCTAAGTTTCCCCGCTCGAATTCAGAATCCCCACGAGGGTATATAAGCATCCATTGTAATTGTTTCAGGGCTCTTCTATGTTATGTTCACGAATAAACAACATGTGTTCTACTATTGAAAGTACTTGTCTTGTCTGACTGCTGGACTGCTGGTATTATAAAGAATATTACGTCTAAAAATACGATTTCCCACAAATATATATTTAATTTTATTCTAATTAAATTTAATATTTATTTACTGGTCCTTTTTTCAAAGTTTTGTAATAGCACAAAATATTGTGTATGTAGTAACATGTGTATATAAAATAATAATAATAATAATAAAATAAAATATATGATATAAAAATCACGCCGCAAATGTGAACTAAAAACATTTGTTTTCAGATTTTAATCCTGCTCGATTGAAGTTTGTCGGTTACGATATTTACGAAAATTACAAACAACGCCGGGTTTCCAAGTAAACTATTTCTAGCCACGTTTCCACCTAATAACTCAAGTTACCGTATTCGCATATGGCTAACCTGGTCTCTTTCCCACCTTCCAGTGGACTTTGATGACAACTTTTGGGCGTTTTCATAAACTACTTTTCTATCTCTCCAAAAAACTCCCGTGACTTTCTAAGCAACCACAATGTTCCTGAGTGATTGTTCTGTATTTCGTAAAATTGCAGACATATTTTTTGACGAACAAACTACATCAAACTTGCCGAGTGTAAAAGCACTTGTTCAACGAACTTTTAGTCTTCATAAGTGATTACTTTTTTATAGTCTGTAGACAGATTTCTTGGCGTTACAGACCATGTATGTTACCGACTTTGTATACAACATTGGCCGTCTTAAAAACAAAGACTTTTCCACACTAGCATACTACTTTATAATTTTTATACTAGTAGTATCTCCTTTAAGATGCAGACATTATGTTTTAAGATCAAAACTGAATGGTGTACACGAAACACAGCACCATTTTCTGCAATTTGCTATAAATATACTACTCGAAATTGTTTACAGGTTTAGTAGTGAACAAATATACCAACACTTGCTACGTTAACTAGGCTAGGTGTTTCAATTTTTTGAATCATTACACGTGTACATTTTGTTTTATGTTTCCACTTCAATCACAGTACATAGTACCGTAACGATGCAGACTACTTTCAGGGTATAGCGCACGACCAACGCCCTCAGTATCAAATTTGACACATTCTTTCGTTTTCTTGCTTTTTACGTGTAATACCTGTAGGGCGCCATCACATAACGATCACACATATGTATATTGCTTTACTCGTAATTTGTTATAGGCCCTCAATGTAGGAATTTCTTATAAAATGACGGAGAACGTTCGTGTGTACACAAAAAAAACATCAGACTAATCGGACTGCATGTATCTGAAAGAGTAGCTACGAAAGCTGACATCATTTTTTTTTAAAAGTACTACCTTTTGATGTACACTGTGATTATGTTCGTTCTCTTATATGGCCTCGATCACATTTCTGAATAAAGCGGTCAATGTAAACAAATTTCATATTTGGGTGCAGGGCTAGAAGCTCTGGGACGAGGTCGTAAACTAACCTGATTTCTAATCTCGTTCCTGTATTTCAGAATATCTCCACAATACAGGGTTTCTATCAAGCACAGTGTACGTACACAGTTCCGACTTGCCAAGGACGCGCAACCCCGGGGCACACGATTTCGGGGCCTTGATGTCCACGTTTTAGTGACTTCCGACAGTAGCTGCTTAATTGATTCATACTTGCTTGTGTTTTCGTGCGTCTCTTTGTTGCGTACGTCGCATGGTGCTCCAATCGAACCCAGCGCAGCACGATGACTGTGACAATTGAAATGCATTTAAACACCAGACTAAGTGAACATGAACTATGGTTACCGTGTCAGTAAAATTACATGTTACGTGCACTTGTATGTTGACCTTGAAGCGTCACAGCCACCGTGCGCGATGCGGAGATCGTTCGTGTGTGTACAATAGAAACATCAGATTAATTGGACATGTACTAGTATCTGGTGAAGTACCCTGTAGCTACGAAAGCTGACACTATTTTTGTTTCTTTTAAAAAAAAGTACTACCTTTTACTGTACACTTTGATTATATTGCACCCACAGCACTTTCCTTGACGTTGCGTTTGGCACGCTGCGCAAGATGTGGGGTAATGCGACATGTATACTACGACATTCTCGAATTGGCCAATGGGCGGCGTTCTAGGATTATTGTGACTATGAACAGTTATTTGCAATAATAATAACACTACATTTATAGCATCTTTTAAAATAATTTTCATTGGTTGACAATAAAATGTTAGTAATAAAATACAATAGATATATACTAAATATAATTTCATTCACATATGTATTAGTTGGCCACGTCACGTGATGGTTTCTGCGTATTAACAACGAAGGCGAAGCGAGAGTGGTTTATGCGCCCAACCACCAAGTGAGCATGATTGAACTGATTTGTGCCACGGCTGTCGCGAATTCGGGTGTTCCGATTTTGCAGGCCGAATATGTCGATACTTTGCTATGCCATATTAAGGCTAGACTACGGCGTATAATCACAAAAAGAAATTTTAGTATTCCCATTGCCCTATTCAAGGTAGTCGTGTCACAAGCGTTTAAATAATTAGCGACAACTCCGAATACTCAAGTGACCACTGCAAAAAAGCTATGCGCATTCACAACGATGATTTGAGTTGCAGACCCCCCCCCCCCTCCGCATTTCGAGCCGAATTATTATGTTAAACTACAGAGCATGTTACTGTACATATATGCAATGCATTATGGGAGAGAACCTCATGTTTTATGTGATGGAATACATATAATCATAATGGTAACTAGCCAAATTAGATGTAATTTTTTTTTTTTTAAATATTTTTTGAATATTCGATAATATTAAAATTCATATCAATAATGTTAAATCGCTGAGCAAAATTTTGAGATGTGAAAAATTCCATTTTCCAAACATTTCAGACTTTTGTTTCTCGAAAAATTGTCTGGCAAACCCATTTGTTTTCCTATTTTCGTTACCATGGTGGCATTAGCACATAATACTGAAGTATGACATAATTACACACAATCTTCAATTCGTCTCGAACATCATTAAATCAAGGTGAAATGACGATTACTGCGATTACGACGCATACGTAGTTTACACTAGATTATACCGCACCGCGTGGCAACAACATATAATGCTTTTAATAACTAACAGACTCGCTTACAATCTGGTTGTTGCTTTTTTATATTCAGATTGGCTTCATATACCGTATATGTAACAGTTTAACGTGGATTACCACCTCTATAATACGCCTAACTCGTTAAGAGGTCAATCCGCGCTATGCCGGCTGCATGGCAATGACTTGGAAATAATAGTGCTAACTGTTAAAATACAACATACTAGAATAATACTAGTTGGTAACTACTTCAGTGCGTCATTTCTGTTTCCTTGTAAAAAAAAAACATGCCAAGGTCGCTAGATTTCACGAAAACACTAGAAGCACCCACATACAAATATTGCCGATGGCGACACCAATATTGATTGCGCTTTTCACAACTCAGCGATAAGACCTTCATAGAGATGTACACATTCGTAAGACCGCGTTTTTTTCAATGCAATTATTAACATTTTGATAATAACGTGCAACGACTATAGTAATTTTGTATGTAGAACTGTACGGCGTAAGAGGTGCCGTTTGTTATAAGTAAATACGTTCAGTGAGTTTGAATTTGTACATTTCAACCCAATAATAACCCGATCATGTCACTGTTATTCCTATTCCATTAACTTCACCATCAACATGTGAAATAGAACTTAGAAGGTCAAGTGTAATTCACAGTAGGAAGTGTTCTTCTATATGTGTTGTTATAACACGTCGTAAAAACAATTATAGTTGGAGAATAGGTACTCTGGCATATAGGAATATGTTATACATTAAGGAAGTGTCAACCACAGCGTCTCGGTAATAATTGTCACGTCTCTTCTTTTTTTCTTCAGATGAACTGTAGTTAATATTTAGTTTAGTATATCCAACGTCAAATGTCAATTATAATAATTCGTTTCATTTCGAGAACAAGTTCATATTTAATTAAAGTAATTTATTAAAGATCGCAAAGCAAGAAATACATGAAAAAATCAATAAAAAGAGGGTTTTAGAAAAAATATCAGCAAATCTCATTTCCTTTTTCTCTAGTTTCTTTCACTATGTCGATAGACAAAGCTGCCGCAAATAATTGATGCTAGCAGTCAATTTTGTTTAAAGTTCAGCTCCAGATCTACGCATAACTCTTAAAATTATCACTATTTACAATCAGAGTTTTGCGATCATGTCATAGCACGTAATGCAAAAATAAG